AAAGTGACTGAAAAACTTAAGAATAGATCTATAGCTTTAAAAAATGTTGGGACAAAAAGTTCCACAGTCGATTCTATTTTGGAGTGATACTTTTTTCCTTCTTCTAATCTATAGAAAAATAGAAGTATATTGAAATTATGCAAATGTGTAATATAAGAAATGTATGTAAAAATAAATGTGTGACAGAAAAGAATTCGTACTTGTGCACCAAATTACGAAATATAGCGTATATTGTGTTTTGGATATACAGTATCTCATGCAGCATGTATAAACATTGTATGTCATTCTCGAACTCACGAGATACACGTATGAATGGTTTTGAGTACACAAATGGTTTTGAATATCGAATTATTATCATTATCGACATCCATTTTTCTAGTATAGCCCAGAAAACTTTACTTTTATTATTATAGCAAATGTTGTTTTGTATATATGACTGAACTCTTGTCAATACATCAATTAACTCATTCACATTGAAAAGTTGTTCCAAGAAACTTGTACCATCTGTCAACTTTACATCAAATAATGTATGAAGCAATGCTATTCCGTCTAGCATTACTTTCACTACAAAATGTTTATTAATTACTTGCACGTATAATCAAAAATTGACATTAAATTGTTTATGATTCTAAATTAAATACTACGTTTAATTAGTACCTGTTTTGGTTTTCTTTAGAATGGCAATTATATTAGGTGCGAAAAAATAAGAAGAATTTGTCAAGTACAGTGTCCAGTTTGATTTAGGATTTGATTGGATCTCGCACGCTATTAACTGAAGAAGCTTGAAGAGTGTTATTTGTAACCGGATATTGTTATTGCATGTACCAAAAAAACGAAGAATTATTCGAACAAGTTCTGAATCTTTGCCTATCATCTCGATGGCTTCGTCAATATGGCAAATACTTGCAATAATATTTAATATTTTATCCTACAAATATGCTCTCTGTTAGTCTTTCAAATTGACATCAAAATGCGCAATGTCAAAAAAATTAAGTAGTGATACAAAATCTATTAGCGCGCGCATAAGTATTTTGTGAAATATTTATATTACATATTATACATATACTACCTTGGCATAATCCGACGATTGATTAGCCATTATTACTTTTGCTTGTGGTATGAAGTGTTTTACGAGATATAGTTTTACATCCAAGTGATCGCTTACTTCTGTTAATTTGCGTAATTGTAATAATTTTATTTTCGTTATTTTAGGCGTAAACATCAAACATTCTTTTGCCTGAAAGAATATAATTATCGAATATATATAGTTAGTGCTCATTGTGTTGGCTTTTCTTCCTTCTTATTTTTTTTATTATAACATCACATAAATACATCACGTACACAATATAAGTAAATATGCATTTATGCATGAAATATTACCTCATCATGGTTTTCTTTAACAAATGGTTTTACCATTATGTGGTAAAAACATTTAGAACACTGTATTTTGTGTGTGTGTAACTACAAAATTCTTACACGATTTAGTATGTAATAACTAGGAATCAAATACTATATTTTTACTTACTATTTGCAATTGTGTAACCGCACTTTATAGTTTTTAGTTAATTTTTGGATAATTACAAAAGTAAGATGACAAATATATATATGTGCTAAAAGGGAAAGAAGGTAAGAAAAAAAGGAAAGAAGAGAAGAAAATGCTTGCAATTTTGTCTTAATAATTACACAAAGAATGTCTTATTATCTGGCACAGATGTAATTTTGCAAAATATGACACATGTACAAGATCTAGTTCTTACTATGGTTACTGTTCTGGTGTTTGAATATTCCATGCCATCAGGTCCGCAATTGTTTGTGTGATTGATAGACATCGTTGTACCGATATTTTTGAATGAGAATCATCAATCAGATAAGTATTCTTTTCCTTTTATTTGCTCAAAATTACAGCTATTTATCGGAAAGAATAAGTTTTTTTACTGTGTGAGTGGAATTGTGGAGCGTAGCATCCATTATTGCGGTAACTAAAATACTGCGGTATTATTATATGTAAAACACACCGAAATCACACATCTTGTGTTTCTTCGGGAGCACGTATAACCTATGTTTTTCTCGTGCAAAAATGTATATACTTACGTATCGATACTGACTTCTCGAAAAAGATAATACTGTTGTGACATCAAACGTCGTTATAGTAAATTTCCAGTAATTTCATCACAATTTTGATTTTTCTGTTATATGTGGACCAGTAGTTCTTCTTGCTACTGATGATTTCTTGTTTTTCTTAATTCTTGAGTGATTGCGCAACTCGTAGAATGCGTGTTTATCTCCACTTCAAGACTGCGTTCGGAGAGCACGCTATCCGCGCTATTGTATCACTCTATCTTTATCGCTCATTAGATGTAAAACAAAGATAGAATGCACACAATAGCGCTGATAGCGCTACTCGTGCTCTTCGAACGCAGCCTAAAAGTCGAAGAGAAAGAAAAACACATATCTTTTGTCTCTTGCTACCAGTCGGTCGCTACCTGGAAAGAGAAGAAAATAATTTCGTACTATCTAGGAAGTATCGATTTCATGTGTTCGAAATTATTAGAATTCTATTAAATCGTTGTTTTTTAAGTACATTTGTTAAAATTACAAATCAATTTGACATTTGTCATTTTATGTGATTTAGACTGCGTTTTGTTGCTTACTGCCAGTACTGAAAATCTATAGCACATCTGAAGTATAGATTTGCTGATAGTGAATATCGAAACGCAGCCTAAGACACGATCCACTTGCAACATTTGAATCTTATGAAAATTTACAATCTTGGGATTACTGTTTTATTTTCATTTCCTATGCAAGCTACGAAATACAGAAAATACATCAGAGATAATTGCACTCTCTTGTGCCATTATATTTATCGCAGTAAAACTTTTATTACTATAATGCAATAATGTTTTCATTATCATATATTGTTTTACACGAAGATAATATATATTATTTTTTGTTTACTCTTATCTGTGCATTTTTATATCGAGCATTTTATTTTTAATTTAGCAATTGTAGCGATCTTTTTAGACAATGCGCAGTATATACATAGTTTTCGCGTTTATACTATATCGTCAGTAGAATCTACCGCGAATTGGTTTATGAGAAGAGGACCACTCAAGGCAATCGATTCCGGACGACTGTAGAGTCGGCGTCGAGAGATGGTGAAGAGACCTATGTATCGCGCGCGCCGCTCTGAGATCGGGAGTGGTCCGACCGGAATTGCGACGCGGTTTACCCGGCGAGATGTTAGCTTTTCGTCAAAGGACCCCTATTAGTATGCGGTTAGTATTACGGCGCCGGTGTATCGGCGGAGGTAGGTACGTTGAGGCAATGACGCGCTATCTATTACCGATTCTCTGGCACGTGAATTGCCAGGCCGCGTCTCCTCTCTCTCTCTCTTCACGTTACCGCGTTCTCCGGAACCATTTTGCTATCTACACAGAGCGTCATTGAACACGGCATACTCGGGGACATTTCTCTCCTTGTCTTCCTGTGCGTCGGATCGCTTTGTAGGACGATAGAATCGAGAACGTCGGATCGACTATAAGGCGATTAGCTCGCGCGCATTCCCATCGTGATCTAACGTAAGAGATCGGGCTGCGCGTCTCTCTGCTCGGGAGGAATATTTAGAATGTTTCGAAGTACACATCGTCACGAGAACACGAAGGCTTCACGTGTTTTCCCGCAGCGGTATCGCAGTTTATGTACCTGTTCGCGTTTGCGCTGTCGCAAATGAAAAACTATATATGCGTTATTTGAATTTTGCGCAATTATCGCGCGCATTTTAGAAATTGCAGAGACAATGAGAGCAACAACTCTTAATTACCTTAGATAAGATCAAACAAAAATGTGCAATTTGTTTTTCTATTATTTATTTTTATTTGCAATAAAATAGGACGCGCGCTTATCAAATGCGCGGTAAATCAGTTAACGTGTTAACAAATAACGCTAAATGTATTCTGTTGTATTCTCCGCTCTTCTCTATTGCTATCTCTCTTTCTCTTCTCTCCACTTGTCCCTTTGTGTCCTTACACAGTTTCGACAGGGACACATACACATTTGCATTCCGGAAGCGGCTCGTCGCGTACGGATCGACTGCTCAACGTTCGTAATTGTTAGTCAATTAAATACCCGTTGTGGTGTAAATTCACTTTGATCTCTTGTTTCGCGTATGATAGTTCACACAAAAGCGCGTGATAAAAATACAGAATGATATAAGAGACGATTTGAAGGGTATATAAATAAAAAAATATAACAATCTTGGTTTTCCATTATCTGTCGGTATAATGCAAACTTATTATTTTTAAAAATTGAAAATGGCACAAAATTGTCTGACACAAAAGTTCATTTCCAAATCATTTTCAACATTATCCATTTTACATTATTTTTAATTGCGAAAAAGATAATTTGTACGTTATGTATTTTTTACATTGTGTGCCAAATGTTTTTATTTTCATCGTTTGCTCTCTGTGCCTCGTGGAAAATAATCTCTTCGAAAACCACGCGTATATTCTGCGAGCGATTTACGCTAACGATCTAACGTAATCGTAACATAACGTTATTTTGCGCATTACACAATTGGCTGCGTTAAAATCGAGCGAAAAGCCAAATCGCGCTATAATACGTATTACATATTAATTAAATTGAAATTAACTCGGCAAACACTAGTAAATTCATTATCAGCGTGGTAATGATATCGAGATGCGCTTGCGCGCGTCATGATTCATTTCGAGTATCAAAGGAAGTATTAAATTTCCCAACCAGCAGATCAGTCCATTACGCTTAATATCGATACCTGTCACTTTGATGCGATCGTCCGGGGATCTGTGTCCAAAAATCCAGCGGCGCGTCGCGGCGCCGTGAACCGCGGCGAAATATCGCTGCGCGCGCACACGCGGAACGAAAACGGGGAAACGGAGCGGAAAAGCGCGTAGACATCGAGCGGGCGGTCCGCCAAGTCCTTTTAATTGTTAGCATATTTTAACCGTAATTTTCCTCTGTTCCAGTTGTCTGAGCCCGAGATCTGCGTTCTTCTACGAGTTCCCACCTAACGGTAAGTCCGCGCACATAAGACTTCGCAGCTTCATTTGTCTCTGCTTTAAGATTTAAGAGGCGTTTGTACGAGAAAACTCGAGCTTTCTCTCGTCGTTCGCTGCTCCTTTCATTTGCGAGGCAAAACATTTGCGCGAGAGCGCTGCTTTTCGCCGACGACGGAAGCACTAATGCGCAATTATTAATAACGTCGTATTTTTATTCGGTAATTACAACTCGACTGCGCACGCTTTATATCTCGTGAATCACAAAAATATAATTATATGTATATATATTTACATAATTATATTTATATATACACATATACTTTATGTGTACATATACTATTTATGTATACACATATATGTGAGTGTGAATTTGCATATAAATATCAGCGTGTATATTAACACGTATATACTATCAAAACATGTAAATGCAATTTACATTATCTCACATACATTATTTCCGCCTTTCGACTTTTGCGACAGTGAGTTACGGTTAATAGGCCGCTTTAAGCTCAAAGTCGTCAATTACGTCCTTCTCCTGATTTATCGATGCTCGCGCCACACATACAAATCATCCCGCGAACGCGCGGTAAGTCCGATAATAGATTGAGAAAACTACGACGGGAGGCTTCGCCGAAGGAACGGGGATGGGCCGCATCAGATTTGAATGCGAGAGGGTTGTTTAATGCATCGATTGTGCGGGGGCTCGTTGCATGATGCATACACTCTCGACGCACCGCCGCTATCTAAGAGGGAAGAGAGAAAGAGAGAGGGGGGAAAGAGAGAGAGAGAGAAAGAGCATCTCGTTCCTTCCGTGCACGTCCCTCCCGATGAAATATATCTACATGGCCTAACAATGGAAGGTGGATGACCACTTTCCTTCCTTCGGAGGAACTCGCGTCGTTACGTGAGAACGCCGAAATGGAATCGCGCCACGTGCGCCTTTGCGGTTGCCGTTGCGCTTCGGTTCGATCTCTCTCTGCTCAAGAGAGATAGGCCGACACGCATGCCGAACAACATTGTTGCCTCGCGCGTCTCATTTGTTATACAAAATGCGAATAATGCTGCCCGAAGAGCCGTGTACTTGTGATCTCATATTCAAGTCGACGGGAGATCGAAGTCCCTCGATAGGTCGGCTTGTGGAGTTGCGCGCACATCTCTCTCTCTCTCTCCCCCTAAGCTTCTTAACATCACCAAGAACGATAAGTTTATTTGCGGATCTACTTTGCGGCAACAACCAAAAAAAAAAAAAGAAAAAAAGACTCGAGAGGAATTCTTGTGCAAATTCGCGACGCGATCGTACACGTGGCAATAAGAATTCTCCCGATCGGAAAATATAAATGGAATAATGTGACAGTTTTATTGTTTTGTTTTGCGCGATACTGTATTTTAATATTGTCCGTTTTTTGTTTTATTGAAAGAGATCAGAGATATCTCGCAACCGGCTTGCGCTATATGCTGTGTCTATTATGAAGGAAGAATTTTCAAATGAATATTTATCGCCATCTGATACCGGTCCGCGTATCGTATCGGTACGTGAGAAATATTCGACGTTACGATTGTATTTCTTCGAGGCAGAGCGTTCAGGTTTACCACCGATTTTTGCCGGTGAGATACGCGCCCGAAGAGGTAGTTATATTACCGGTGCGCATGCAATCGGCCTTGCGCCCGCTTCGAGGGAGCGAAGAAATAAAACCAAGACGAAAAAGGGCTGGTGGTAGCGCGAGTTGGAATTTTTCGAGATATCGAAAAACACTTTAGATCCCATATTGGAGAGGATCGGGAGGGAGAGAAGCGACGCGATCGCGGCAGAGGGGAATCTAGCCTTGATATTTCATTTCTATTGACTTCTGCGCCGCCACCCTCGTGCGCGCGTTATACCCTGCCCAGCTATGAATACATAATTGAGATCGAGCTCTCTCTTTCTTTCTCTCTCTCTCTCTCTCTCTGTCTCTCTCGCTCTTTGCGCATATAGTATTTCTCGATAACACATACATATATTGAACGCCGAAGTCTCTGTTTCTGCCTTCTATCCATCGAAAACATTCGAGAGTTTCGATGGTCTATTTGATTTCGATATATTTAGTAAATTCAGCGGACAGACCAACTTTAGTTCGGATTTTGTTTTATGTTTTAGTTCAATTAAAAAATTTTTTTTATTTTGTTGGAAAAATAATGCTCTTTATTTTCGCTCAGTTATGCGTTTAATTTGTTTATATTTTACGTTGTTTTTTTATCTGATGTGTATGACGAGGATAAACTAAAAATACAACATATCTAATTTACTTTTTTCAAAATTTATTTTTTGATATTTAATTTGCTGTGACGCGTTTTAATTATTTTATTGAGCAAATTATTTGCGTGTAAATTATTATATACATTTAATTGAAATCAATATTAATTTTTGTCGTCACTGCGACGACTGCCAAAACGCTTCGAATGAAAATCGTTCCGAATTCGTGCAAGACAAATAGGAGGAATTCAGGTCGTGGGAGCGGATAGTAAGTGTTACAAATGATTCCTCATTACTCGAATTCCAAAATTCCTCTGGTCGACGTGCTCTCTCAACGTCCAACGGCGAGTCATTGACACTCCTCGACCGTCTTCCGGCGCGTTTCTGACCGACGACGGGGCCCGACCCCTTCGTGAAATTCTCGATTCTATTCTCTCTCTCTCTCTCTCTCTTTCCCTCTCTGGCGGCCTCGCGCACCACAGCAGAGATATTCCCGTTGAATCGCGGAGACTAATCAGTTGAGGGCGGAAACGCGCGAAGCGGCTCCCGCTTAACAGTAATTCCGTGTAAGAGGCGTCGATGCCGGATTGCTGCAGCACTTAACAGTTGTCGCGTAGTACACAACGGTGGTTGTATATATATATATCTATACGGAGAGAGACCGACCCTCTCTCTCTTCTCAAAGAGAGAGAGAGAGAGAGAGAGCCAAGCTTTGCGGTACCCGAACCCTCTCGTGCGCGCCGGGGGTTGCCGGGATACGCAAACACCCTCCCGCTCGCGCGCGCTCTCGGTTGTGCTTGCTTGGCGAAACGCGCGAGCTGGCGAGAGAGCACAAGCCTGTTTGTCTGGACTGGAATCCAAGTAAGAGGGCGGGCGGCGGCCAAGCGGTGGAGAGAAGTTAGCGAAGTGCGCTTATCCCTGCATAGCGTGTGCAACTGCACAACTTCGGCCGCCTCCTCTCCACCCGCACAGTAACGCGCGCACACGCTATATATCGTGTCGGTATCCGTACCGGGATGAATGGTAATGAATGCGCCGCCGTACAGTTTGCGCGCGCCGATGAATTCGTCGAGATGTCACGCGCGCGCGGAAACACGACCAGTCGATCCTATATATTTCAAGAATTTTTGTTTTCCGTCGAAAATAACAGAAAGTTTATTAGAATAAAATCGAGCGATATCTTTTAAATTGGAAGCTCGGTTTAAAGTTTAAAAATATATACTATATATCATATACAAATATAGTATGTACTATATGTATAAATAAAATACTTCCTTATCATTTTTTATTTGCGACTCGAAGTATAGGAAAAAGAAGTCACTATATTGCCGATGGTTTCTGATACAATATTTGCGGATTATCGCGACAAAGATCAGACGCCGAGTGCATCGAATATATCCATGACAAAACACATCGTACGGAGTGGAATCCGGCTTTGAACGAAGCGGTTATCCTTCGTGCGAGTGCATTTCGCCAACGTCACGTTCCGCTTATCGTGACGGTCGCGCCCGAATCCCGATGATTGTGTGTCGTTGTGCGACGCGTTCTTGCGCCTCGAAATTCCGCGCGCACGACCAAGAGCCAACTCTCTTCGGCTGTTCAAATAAGAAATAACGACGGGACTTGGATCGGGACGTATCCTCTAGCGCGCGTCGTGTGATTTTTTTTTTTTTTACAAACCGACATGTAACTGGCACCGTACGACAGTTTTATCGGGCTAGCCACATCTCTTGGCACTTTAACCTCAGAAGTGACACTAAATGGCGTGGAAAATTTATGTTACATTGCTGATATTAGCGGAGATGGGAGTTTTATATCATTTTAGAGTTAATTCCCATCATCCATCATTCTCTTTCTCCGTTTTATTATATATTTTGTATTAAATTTATTGTATATAAAATTTTTTTGCGAGATTCATGTAATAATATTGTTTTTTTAAAGTAAACATTTTTGTTCTCAATTTCAAGTTTTATTTTAAACTTAGAGAAAAATAGAGGGAAAAAGAGAGAAAAGAATATAGTAATGTTGTTTGATGGTTAATCACTTATCGGCGCTTTCGCACGTGTGTATGTACAATATCGATTTCAAACAAGAATTTTACGGTGCGTGCGCGTAAAGGATATTGCGTGTGAATTGTTAGTCGTTGCAAATTCAATTGTCGGAATGCTTACGCGGTGGATTGATTCCTTGGCCACTGATTGCTAAATACGCATCTGTGGGAAAGCAGACCCGGTCTGTCTGGACCAGAACACCCGCCGTAGGGAAACGCGAACGTTTGTGTATCTCGGCGCGCATTGAATTGCGCCAACATACCGTGCTTCCATCTAAACTCCACCGGTGGCGATCCACGTTTGTATTCAACGATGACATACGGTTGGATTTGTCGTGTCGCGCAAAGTTCCTCGTATAACGGCAACTCGCGGAAAACAGCTCTGAGATCAGCGATTTCCGAGCGCATAGATCAAAGAAGGAATATGAAGGAAAATCGACCTAGTTTTTCGAAAACGCACGCGCAGTGACGAGAAACTGTTTTCCTTTTATTTTTCTCTTCTGAGTGGAAATAGTTCTTTCTCGTTCGGCCATATGTGCTCCAGTATATTTTACTATTTTTTCAGTAAACGTGGAAAAAACAAACTTTTACAAAAAAATGTTGATTTTATCTGAAAATTTACTCTCGCGGATCCGGTTGCGGATGGTGTATCAAACTCTGCAATTTTTTTTTTTCGCGCGACGAAAGCAATTTGAACGGCAATATATATTTTCCTTGCTGTCGCTTCTTTTCGA